TATGATATATTAAACAAATACACAAAACAAAAAGACATTTCACATTACATTTTACTATTTATTTAAGTTTAATGAGAAGTGCACTAAGTATGCTTTTCTAGATTTACTATATAATTTGGTTTTTATACATAGTAATATAAGTTTTTTATTTATATTTAATTAGGAGCACACTAAATGTCTGATTTCATTAATTAGTTATTCCTCCTGAGCATACAGTCTATACATCATGGTCACCAGCCAAAGACGTCAGTCACACACAGCSCAGCACAGCACTGCAAAACTCTTCTTTACCGATTCAGACATCATCAGTGAGGGAATTCATCCACGCCCATATCTCGCGTCCAGTTGAATTAACCGTCAAGACAGTTTCTGCGCTGACTATGATTCCTCAACAACGCATTGTCTGTTTGACCCTTGCGGTTACAAGCTACAAATTCTTACTTCCACAAGAACTGACCGCCAAGGAAGAAGTGATCACAGCAGTGTTTTGGGTGCTGGTCGACTCTCTAGAGGTTCCTGTAGTAGCAGAATACACGGAGGAAGTGAAAGAGTTCGGAGGGATGATGGGTAGAATTGCTTTCCTCCCTGTAAGGATACTTGGCAGAATCGTATCATTGACAGCTGAAAGTTCATGGAGAGCGTTGTCGTGCTTGGTTGAAACGGTTTACGACACTGCGGTCCATCGGATTGCCCGACCCGTTTACAACTCAGTGGTCGAGTGGATTGTCCGACCAGTTTACAACACAATGGAGGAGCGGATTGTCCRGCCGGTTTACAGCTTAATGGTCGAGTGGATTGTCCGACCAGTTTACAACTCAATAATCGATTGCCTGACGCAGTCTTTCAATATGGTGATGCAAGTTCACAACTGGTGTTGGCCAGTCATTTCCAGGTGTTACAACTACTTGGTATTCCCTCTKTTTGTCCACAACGAGCCTCAGTCAAGCCCTGTACATTATGTATTGTATACCATCAATACCGTACTACATACCGCTTACTCCGTGATCAGACTGCTTCTCCTTGATCCTATAAGCACCCTTGTCTACTACAGCTGGACAGACATGTCGCTCAACTACAMCATTGGTTATTGGATCAAGAGTGTTAAACACATGGCTTGGTACAYTGTTATTTACAACTGGGAACTCACTYTGATCGCCTGTTTGATTTGTCTGTGGATATGGAGCATGATCAACGTGGKTTTACGCAGTAAGTAAATAGTCATAATCGTCCCAAGTGCACCTCGGTCGTCCCTTCTCCCTTCGTTAACGAAGGGAGAAGGGACGACCGAGGTGCACTGGGGACGAGTATGGTAAATAGTAAGTTTAGTGTCGCAAAATGAAAGGAGTGTTGTGTGCTAAGATTCTTAATGTAGAGGTAGTGAGTGTGAGAGTACAGTGTCCCACATTAACGCGAGAAGCGCTAAAACGACATGGACACTTGAAGAAACAGTTATCTATTTATTATTATTTATTATCTATTATTACAATAAATTAAATCCATTTTCATGTTATCACATATTTATATTTTGAGTAGCAACTTTGTTTTATATATACATTTGTATTTTGAAATAGAGTATTACATACAAACTACTGTATTTCATCCATGATATGATTTTTAAAGTGATACAAAGAGACGGCAAGAATAGAGAGGCACGAGCCCGAATTTGACAGTTTCAGAACAGGCAATTTTTCTGCTGTCATATTAAACGCCTTTGACTAAAACCGTTTATTGTTCTTTTTTTCTCACCAGAAAGAAAAAGGAAGGGAATGCCAACACAGCTGCGGAAAATACTAAAAAGACGCGACTTCCACTATAGAGGATGAAATTTTAATGAAATATGTTCAATTTTGTGAGCGTAATTTCCTTCTTTGTTTTTATTGAGAATTATGATAGAAATATGTACATTGATTGTTAATAAAATAGCTTATGGTGACTCGAAAAAATGGCTTACTTGTCTATTTAACAATTAGACCTCGATGCCGAGTGGACTACGAGCTAATAGCTCATGAGGCCGWGTCCGCGAGTATAAACATACTAATCGGTCAAATAATGAAAACAAATTGAAATATTCTTAAAACAATTTATAATTTATTTATTTTGACTTTCTCGCGAGTGGTCTATCACAAATTAGACCATTAGTAGAGTAGCCAATCACAGCGCAGTATGAGTGATAGACCATTAGTAGAGTAGCCAATCACAGCGCAGTATGAGTGATAGACCATTAGTATGTTTATACTAAAATATAGTATTTTGTAGATTTGTTTCAATCTCGGACGACATCTTTGATTGCGCGTTTTTCACAGTTTCTATAACGACTATACATCGCTAAATGAGATGTACGAAGCACAAATATTAGCGGGGCTCCCGCGGAGCACCATAGCTAAGAAAAAATGGTATATCCATCGAGTCGATTTTCCATGGACCGACACAGGGTTCCCGCGCGTACGCAAGTTTCCTTCCTGGACTCCGTGTACCACCATAGGAAAACCATACTTCAAAAGTGCCAAAATATTTGTTGAAACATCAAAATTTTTCGCTAAACACTTATCTTTTAAATGGATAACACTAGAAAAAGTAACCACAAAAAAAAAAAAAAAAAAAAAATCCAGAGGGAAAGCGGAATCAAAGCACAGAAGTATTCCCACCAATAAACACTTTTAGCGATCTCTTTTACGCTGTGTTAGCCTCAAAACCATGTAATAAATTCTTTCATTCACAACAACCCGTGCAAATGCAAGAGATCTGTGAGTATAGAAGACAATGGAAATAGTTTGAAATGATCAGGAGTTTTATCCACATCATCTGAATATTTTAGCACACAATTGAGGCTAACACAGCGTAAAAGAGATCGCGAAACTCAACTATTTTTTCATAGCTACGACGCGTCTGCACATCCGGGAAATCGATTTGTGAACATGAAAAGCAATTTACTTTCGTCAAGCGTTTCGAGGCTCAGTTTTTATGAAGAACAGGATGACGTTTCGCTTTGACATTTCGACCAAAAAAAATGATGCTATATTGAAAATACTGCAAAAATATTGGGAAAAGCAACAATTTTGACATATTTTTTTCCAAGWAGTGTGGAGATTTCACTGAAACCAAGACCATATCAGCAGAACTCGATTGATACAGATTTATGTATGAGTCAATTGAAACCCCTGCATCCCCCATCCCCCTTAGCGGGGCATAAGCGGGGTTTAAGCAAAGAAATCAACCATTATATATGCTTGGGTGGTCGGGAAATTCAGTTCTTTTCACTGCTTCGTACAGATAGCGGGACAGTCACTTTGGTCAGCGGTGATTGTATTGATTGTGTGAAGTATGTGCACGACCACCCAGGATCAATTATTTCGATTATGAACTCAAGGTGTTGAAAGTACAAACCATGGGTTCCAGCCTAGCCTGAAATAAAAAAATTCTTTTAACTCCTTTTTTACAGAAATATTGTTGCTTATATCGTATCCACGTATTCCTAAAGCGGATTTTTTTAGCCGTTTTTTTTCGTTTTCCCTCTCCACAAACCAAAGAGGGAAAACTAAAAAACGGCTCGAAAAAAATCTGCTTTAGGAATAAATGAATATGATATAAGCGACTATATTTCTGGAACAAAAGGAGGAAAAAGAAACAAAAATTCAGGCGAGGCTCAAACCCACGGTTCGTACTTTCAACACCGCGAGTTCATAACCAGAGGGATTGATCCTGGGTGGCCTGTGGTATATCGATTTCCCTTGTTTCCATCATTTTTGTATGAATAGCCAGTGTCAAGAGACAATTAGGGGTTTACATTTCAATTCCTTTTTTGCTACCGGGGATTCACCTGTTAAATTGTCCCTGGTGACTGGGACACTCACTATTATTCACTTGATAAAAAAGTGAGTGTCCCGCTAAGGCCCGGATGGGGGGTTGTAGGGGTTTGCAATTGACTCATGCATTGAAAACACAGAGAATCAACAAGATTACAGCCTTGAATGTTTTTATTTATTGATGAAGCTTGTTTGAAATAAGTTATTTTTTAACCTGATAATTAAGGCGAGTTTGACATTGGAAGCCTCATTGTTTATAGTTCTACAGGCGAAAAACATTGAAGCTTACTATAAAGCTWTAGCATTTTCTTGGCATTTGAGAGAGGAAAATATATTGGAAGTTCAAGAATCAAGGTAAATTAAAATACGTAAGATATTCTTATACAGTTGCTGTGGTGTGATGTCTATCTTAAATCTGAGTGCTTGTATGTAGACTATTTGCATTAAAATCAATTGATACACAGATTTAATGATTAAGTTATAATATGTTCGTCCCACTGAACAAAAACTACCAAAGTCAACGAATTCTGAGTTAGAAGTTCTTCTAAMCTTACTTTTTCTTTTGCATAAACTTTTCGATTAAGTATTTGTTCGCAACAATAATTTATGTTCTGTTTACATTCCTTGAACACTGAAACAGCGTATCTCTACTAAAGATATCCTTGAATTGAAATGGAGTACTAGATAATCATTCTTTTCAGTACTATATTGCCACTGTAGCTCCGCTATTAGGTGTTACCTAATTTTTATATTCCATCCCTAAATAATGTTCCATCCCTCATTTGCTCATGAAGTGAGAAAATCCTGCGATTTTATTTAATTTTGCCAGAATGTCTATGCATTTTTTTTTTTTTTTTTTTTTTTTTTTTGATGCCTTCATTACACAGTTGCCTGCCTATATTTGTGTAAAAAGATAAATTTAACACCGTAAAAAAGTATGTAAAATAACTTACTGACGTTTCGGACGTCAATCCTTTACTCCGATGAAGGATTAACGTCCGAAACGTCAGTAAGTTATTTCACATACTTTTTTACGGTGTTAAATTTATCTTTTTACACAATTGTTTCTTTAGAAACACCGACGMRGCACCGCTAGTTMCCACCATTTGCCTATATTTGATTYATTYTCATATGATTCACAAGTGATTGCGTGCAAGTAATTTTTCCAGTTGCTCGCATAAATAATTCTTCCATTTATCCTCTTTATTGATGATCTCTCCCATCTGATTTAAGAAACATTGACTCTTTGCTGTCCTTTAAGAAAGAACTCAAAACTTATTTGTTTAGTTTAGCTTTTAGAGTTTTTAAACTCTAAAAAAAAAAAATTAAAATTAAAAATTAAAATTTGTTTGTTAGTTATATCAGAGCGCATAGAACAGACTTGTATATGCGCTATACAAGTTTTCATTATTATTATTATTATTATTATTATTATTATTATTATTATTATTATTATTATTATTATTATTATTATTATTATTATTATTATTATTATTATTATTATTATTTTTATCATTATTAATTCATACCAAAGTATCTATGTCCAGAAATACTCAATCTCAATAAAAAACTTGATTTTTACAAGACGTTTCAAAACTGCTATCCATTTGGGAATTTTACTTTATTTAGAATTTTGTATAAACTACTCCTTGCTCTATTTCACACATGTAACAATCTCATATTAAGGTTTGAAAGCTAATTTTGAATTTCTGTTTTATATATTAGCAATTTTTCCTTTTCCAGTTATTCGCAGGCTTTTCTAGTGCTATGCCGTATAATTAATTTAACGCTTTTGAACTTGAACTTCATAAATGATTTTATAGGTCTGGATTACGTTTAAATACGGCCTTTTCTCATCATTTCAATAAAACTCATGCATTTTGTATCTTCTTTGTTTAGAGACTTTTGTTGAGTAATCCCAAAGGGAAGCGATTCAAATACTGTCAAATTAGCTAATTACATCATTGATTATAGTTGATTCTTACCATAAACTCGATAACTAGATTTTCCTGGCTTTTGCTACCTTTTCAAATCCTGTGGTCTGTTTTGTACCTACTTAGCCTACTCTAAATAAGGTATTTGTATTCAAATGTTCTTATTTTCAGTGTCTTAAACCTGTGTAATCAAAGAGCATGAATGATTGTGTTAAATTTGTGTAGTCTATGCAGCATGAGCATGGATCGAGTTCATGGAATTGTGATAAGCTTTTTTTTACTTTCAGTTGAGTTGGTTTGTTGGTCTGTGCCTATTTTCAGTGTGTTTAACTTGTGTAAAAATTGCCGTTAAATTTGTGTAGTGACTGAGCATAGACTCGAGTTGGATTTGTGATAAGCTTTACTTTGAATCGATTTGTTGTTTTGCCCTATAATATATATAGTAAACTATTCCCAAGGTATGAACAGAGCATGTAATGAAGGAATTCTGTCCTTCTAATGCTGTTTCCTTTGTTCATTCGTTTTATTCTGGTCTCCAATAAATCGTGCACTCTATACATGGATATACGATAATTATACACATTTATCATCGGATAATTATAATCGTGCGCCATGCATTTTTGCTCGAAAAGTTTTATCCATAAAACAGAACAGCTTACTTGCGAAATCTGATTGTTATTTTTTTCGCTGATCATTTGGGTACACTCATATTCTCTGTTGAAATGTATAAAACTATGGCATTGAACATATAACCCTAAACTAACCACATTTAAGTGAACATATTTATACTTTTCCATGTCCAAAAGTGTCCAAATGAATGAGATTCATTCCGTTAGTTATGCACACTCTGTTTGGTTGAAGATATTGTTTTCATTGCCTACTGTGAAAGCTCGCTCTTTGAGTGAAGCCAGAGAGACGCTCTATGAAARCAATATGGCCAGACTGATAACAGGCTGTATGTATTTCAGRAAACGTTGAAACTGCATTCTGAATMTTACATTCCATGACMGCAATTCATTATTGAAATTTACAAAATGACAATTCTAAACTTAATTGCTTTGCATCGATGTTTTTGACTTTATATGTAGCTGATACATTTTTTCAATGGCGCATAGAATGAGCAGCAATACGTTGCGGTCTTTCTGGAATACACAGTGCAATACACAGTATTCAGTGTTCAAAGTTTTCTTAAAGCCCTATACTTAGGACATTTTAGGAGGAGCTGACGGGTTCCTCGGAGAAATTATCTGCTATTGTGTCCCTGCCAGCTGTAAGCCACAACTGGTTGCCAGGGAGAACGTCAGGAAAAAAGAACTCCCCAGGCAAGGAATACTTTCTAAGAATCTTTGCCATAAAAATAAAAATTTCCTAACTAAAAAAAATAATATATAAGCCACTTTTGAAGATAAAAACGTTAAATAAGCCTTTTTGACTTTAAAAATGTTTGCCAGGAACCAAATAAGTTTAAAGAAGGAAGGGCGCCACATTTGTTTGATTGTCAACAATGTAGCTCAAAACCCTATGCCAAGAAAAAATTCGTACCAGAAGAGTTATTTAGAAGAACAGACCCCGTCGTCTCCTCCTGTACTGATATTGGTCAACTAAAGCGTGGTAAATGGCAGAAGAGTGTTGATTCTTGTCATTCTAAATTGTAATTTACCCCAGTTTTTATCGTTTGAATAGTAATATTCGAGAATAAAGTTYACTTATTTCAAAGATTTTATAATCAAATACTTTCAAAATAAGATTTGTTTTAGTATGCCAGCGCTCAATTACTAGTACCTCACCAATTAACACAAATTCTGATTATGTAATCCTGAAGGCCAGTCTCATGCAGGGCAGTACGCGTATTAAATTTTTCATGAGTTTAATTATGAATGAAAATTTCTAGTTATATGATAACTGAACATAATGATCGGAGAGATCATTGTTGCATTGTGCCGTTCAAAAGGTAAGTAGAGTGATCATAGACCATTACATTCTAGTGATACAGGAATACCACAAACGTTACTGAATTCTCAGAGACGGTAATTTGCGAAATAATAGTAAAACCACCACACTATATAGAGCCGATTTCGTATGAGTGGGACACCGTTACGGCACGGTTACCGCACAGTTACCGGACCTGGCCTGCACAATTTTGGTGAACCATGCATTGGGGCACTCGACTTTGGTTACAGTACGGTTACGGTCACAGTACAGTATCGTCCGTTTCCCACTCATACGAAATCCGCTCTATATAAGGACTAGTGGATAAAAACGAAGGGAAAGAAAAAACAAATCACCCAAAGTAAGGTTTGGTAAAAGAACCATGTAGATAATAAACCAATCGGCCTGAAAAAAAACCGACAAGTTTTCAAAACCTTTATCATCAACTCTTGCCTTTTATATTTTCAGAAAAACAATGTATACCCCAATTACGACACTCTTAATATTGCTCAGCTGCGCCCTAGGGTAAGTTTTACTGTTTTCCACATCATATTTTCCTGTTATTTTTATTAGGATTGTTGATTATATCTGAACTTTGTTATTTGTCTTAATTTTGCTGTTACTGTTGAAATTCAAGAAGTTGTTGTTGTTTGTGTTATTGTATGTCTGTTCAGTGTTGTTGCTACGGAATGTGTTTGTGTATTTTTGTTGCTATGTTGTTSTAGCCATGTTGCTGCTGTTGCTATGCTATTGTTATTTTTGCTGTTGTTGATAATTTTTGCAATTACTGCTGCATGTTGTTGTTTTTGTTGATAGTTGTTGCTTCTGCTGTTGCTATAGTTGATTGTTGCTGCTTCTGTTGTTGCTGTTGCTGTTRKTGTTGCTGCTGCTGTTAGTTTTGTTGCTAGTTGTTTCTGCTGCTGKTATTGTTCATGTGCTAGCTGTTATTTTATTGTTGTTGTCGTCAACACAAGTACCACAAACTCTTCATTTTATTTACTCTGAATGGATTTGAAAAGAAAACGTCGTTTCAACAAAATTGGCAAATCTTATAAAACACATTGCTTAATATATGCTCGTAGTATGTATTACTTGATGTACATTCAACATAGTTTAAGCATTACTCGTTAGAAAGTATCTTAGTAAACTTTACATGCACAAATTTCCGGTTTTCTTTTTTCACATTCAGAGCAAAACGAGTGTGAGAGCTTCGTGAGAGCTGTCATTCGGTTTCCTATCTTCGTTAATGTTAGTTGTGAAATTTTGCAGTACACTTGGGAGCTCCAACGACTCCCTTTCACAACAATTGTTTGCTAACTACGACAACCAAGTGAGACCCAACCACGGTGGTAAGATCTTTGAGAAATTGCTTTTATTGTTTATACAGATTATTCAGCTTTAAGTTGCAAAACGTTATTACAGTGTTATTAACTTTTAATACTCTATGAGCCTGAAGTTTTAATCATTTAATCATTGAAATACTTCTCGGAAATTTTAAAACAWTTTAATGCTAATGACTATATTTGTCTTTGTCTTTATGACTTTGAACTGAACACGTTCATATGGGATTTACTGTATGTATGCTCCATCGGGGGGGGATGCTCTATCGGGCGGGGGACCCCCTTATAAAAGTTCGTAGATGTGCTCCAGGGACCTTTTAGGGTAGAAAATAAAATCCGCGCGTACCTTTTAAGAATTKTTTTAAAGAAACAGATTTTATTAACATCAACAATCTATCAACATTGAATTTCCACAGTTTGTTAAACTAGAGCTTTTCTCTTGTAAAAGACGTCAAAAATGGTCGTACCTTTTAGTGATCGATACCTGAATTAATTTGTGCGTACCTTTTAGGTATCTTTATAAGGGAGTCCCCCCCCCCCCAACTCTACAGTCACATTTGCATACATTCTCTACAGCCACGTTCACGTACATTCTCTACAGCCTATTCACATACATTCTCTACCGCCTATTCACGTATATTCTCTACCGCCTATTCACATACATTCTCTACCGCCTATTCACATACATTCTCTACCGCCTATTCACATACATTCTCTACCGCCTATTCACATACATTCTCTACCGCCTATTCACATACATTCTCTACCGCCTATTCACATACATTCTCTACCGCCTATTCACATACATTCTCTACCGCCTATTCACATACATTCTCTACCGCCTATTCACATACATTCTCTACCGCCTATTCACATACATTCTCTACCGCCTATTCACATACATTCTCTACCGCCTATTCACATACATTCTCTACCGCCTATT